GTTTGGACCCCTACGAGTTGCTGATATCCAAGCTGCTCCATTTGAGCGAATTGAAGCGCTCGGGGCCCCCCGAGTTTGCGGCCCTCGAGGCCCTTTTGGTCCACGTCAGCGCTGTCTCCTTTCCCCTTTTTGTCTCCTTTTTGTCTCCTTTTTGTCTCCTTTTTGCCTCCTTTTTTGCCTCCATTTTGTCTCCTTTTTGTGTCCTTTTCGTTTCCTTTCTTGTCTCCTTTTGGGCCCCCCTTTGTCTCTCGTTGTCTCCTCTTTTGTCTCCTTTTGGGGCCCTTTTTGTCTCCTTCTTGGTCTCCTTTTGGGGCTCTTTTTGTCTCCTTTTTTGACCCTTTTTGTCTCTTTTTCTCCCCTTTTTTTGTCTCTGTTCTTGGCCCTTTTTGTCCCCTTTCGTGGCCCTTTTTGTCTCCTTTTGTCTCCTCTTTTGGCTCCTTCCTTGGCTCTTTTTGTCTCCTTTTTGGGCCCTTTTCGGCTCTTTTTTTCTCCTTTTTTATGTCTCTTTTTGGCCCCTTTTGTCTCTTTTTTGGGCCCTTTTAATCTCTTTCCATTTCCTTCTGTCTCCTTTTTTGCCTGTTTTTGTCCTTTTTATTTGCTTTTTTGTCTCCTTTTCTGTCTCCTTTTTTGTCTCCTCTTTGTCTCCTCTTTGTCCACTTGTTTGTCTCTTTTTTGCGTCCTTTTGTCTCCTTTGTCTTCTTTTTATTTCCTGTTTTGTGTCCTTTGGGCCCTTCTTGTCTCCCTTTTTGTCTCCGTTTGTCCCTTTTGTCCCCTCTTTTGTCTCCTTTGTCTCTTTTTCCTTTATTAATTTCCCTCTCTTGTTTCTTTTTTTGTCTCCTTTTGTCTCCTTTTGTCTCCTTTTAATTCCCTTTTGTCTCTTCTCGTTTAATTGGCTGTTTCTTGTCCCTGTGTCTTTCATTCCTGTCTCTTTTCGTCTCTTTCCTGTCTCTCAACTGTCCCCTTTTGCTGTTTCATTTTAATTGTCTCCTTTCCTGTCTCTCTTTTTATTAACTCTCCAGCTGTCTCCTTTTAACCGTCTCCGTTTAACTCTCTCTTCTTAAATGTCTCCTTCCAGTTGTCTCCTTTTAACTGTCTCCTTTTAAGCTGCCTCTTTTCCAATTGTCTCCTCTCGAATTATTTCCTTCAAAGTTATATCCTTTAAACTGTCTCCTTTAAACTGTCTCCGTTTAAACTGTCTCTTCAAACTATCTCCTTCAAAACAGTCTCCTCAAAACTGTCTCCTTTTACACCATCTCCTCAATACTGTCTCCTCAAAACTTGTCTCTTTTGAAACTATCTCTTCAAATTATCTCCTTTAAAAGTGTCTCCTTTAAAACAGTCTCCTTTAAAACAGTCTCCTTTAAAACAGTCTCCTTTAAAACAGTCTCCTTTAAAACGGTCTTCTTTAAACTATCGTTTTAAAACTGTCCCTTTAAAACTGTCTCCTTTAAAGCTGTCTCCTTTAAAACTGTCTCCTTAGAGCCATTTCCTTTAAGACTGTCTCCTTAGAACTCTTTCCTTCAAAAGTGTCTCCTTTAAAACTGTCCCCTTAGAACTATTCCCTTTAAAACTGTCTCCTGTAAAAGTGTCTCCTTAGAATTATTTGCTTTAAAAGTGTCTCCTTTACAAGTGTCTCCTTAGAACTATTTCCTTCAAAGCCGTCTCCGTTAAAAGTGTCTCTTTAGAATTTTTTGCCCGAAAAGTGTCTCCTAAAAAGTGCCTCCTTTAAAAGTGTCTCCTTAAAACTATTTCCTTGAAAAGTGTCCCCTTCAAAGCTACCTGCTTAGAATTCTTTGCTTTAAACCTGTCTCCTTGAAAGTGTCTCCTTGAAAGTGTCTCCTTCAAAGCTGTCTCCTTAAAAGTGTCTCCTTGGAACTATCTCCTTCCAAAGTGTCTCCTTTAAAAGTGTCTCCTTAAAAGTGTCTCCTTTAAAACTGTCTCCTAAGAACTGTCCACCTTAGAGCTGTCTCCTTTTAAAGTGTCTCCTTAAGGCTATTTGCTTGAAAAGTGTCTCCTAAAAACTGTCTCCTTAGAACTATTTGCTTCAAGAGTGTCTCCTTTAAAAGTGTATCCTTAAGACTATTTGCTTCAAAACTGTCTTCTAAAACCTGTCTCCTTTAAAACTGTCTCCTTAAAACTATTTGTTTGAAAGGTGTCTCCTAAGAACTGTCTCCTTTAAAACTGTCTCCTTAGAACTATTTGTTTGAAAAGTGTCTCCTAAGAACTGTCTCCTTTAAAACTGTCTCCTTAAGACTATTTTCTTTAAAAGTGTCTCCTAAGACCTGTCTCCGTTAAAAGTGTCTCCTTAGAACTATTTGTTTGAAAAGTGTCTCCTTAGAACTATTTGTGTGAAAAGTGTCTCCTTAGAAGTATTTGTTTGAAAAGTGTCTCCTGAAAAGTGTCTCCGTTAAAAGTGTCTCCTTAGACTATTTGTTTGAAAAGTGTCTCCTGAAAACTGTCTCCTTCAAAAGTGTCTCCTTAGAAGTATTTGATTAAAAACTGTCTCCTTTAAAAGTGTCTCCTCAGACTACTTGTTTAAAAACTCTCTCCTTTAAAAGTGTCTCCTCAGACTACTTGTTTAAAAACTGTCCCCTCAGACGATTTGTTCGAAAAGTGTCTCCAAAAAGTGTCTCCAAAAAGTGTCTCCAAAAAAGTGTCTCCAAAAAGTGTCTCCAAAAAAGTGTCTCCAAAAAGTGTCTCCAAAAAGTGTCTCCAAAAAAGTGTCTCCAAAAAGTGTCTCCAAAAAAGTGTCTCCAAAAAAGTGTCTCCAAAAAGTGTCTCCAAAAAAGTGTCTCCAAAAAAGTGTCTCCAAAAAGTGTCTCCAAAAAAGTGTCTCCAAAAAAGTGTCTCCAAAAAGTGTCTCCAAAAAAGTGTCTCCAAAAAAGTGTCTCCAAAAAAGTGTCTCCAAAAAGTGTCTCCAAAAAAGTGTCTCCAAAAAAGTGTCTCCAAAAAGTGTCTCCAAAAAAGTGTCTCCAAAAAAGTGTCTCCAAAAAGTGTCTCCAAAAAAGTGTCTCCAAAAAAGTGTCTCCAAAAAAGTGTCTCCAAAAAAGTGTCTCCAAAAAAGTGTCTCCAAAAAAGTGTCTCCAAAAAGTGTCTCCAAAAAAGTGTCTCCAAAAAAGTGTCTCCAAAAAAGTGTCTCCTTTGCGTGTCAGGCGTGCGAGAACCTGCTGGGGGAGTTGTCTCCGTTGGCCGCGGCTGCGGAGGGTTTGCTGCTGCTGCTGCAGGAGGCGCGCAGCAGCAGCAGCAGCAGCAGCAGCAGCTTGCTGCGCCGCTTCTCCGAACTCAAAAGGAGACTCGCCAGCTGCAAAGACAAAACCCAGGGTCTCCAAAGGGCCTTGAAAGAACTAAATCAAGAAGGAGACATTTCAAGACTCGAACTTAGTCGTTTTTGGGAAAACGAAAGTCTCTGGGACTGTCCCCAAAAGTCCGAATACGCACAAGACGCGGAGATCCTCCTCGAGTGCTACGAACAGGAAGTCGAGGCCATCTACCAAGTGAGGGTTTAGGGTTTAGGGTTTAGGGTTTAGGGTTTAGGGTTTAGGGTTTAGGGTTTAGGGTTTGGATTTAGGGGTTTAGCTTCTAGGTTTTAGGGTCTGATATCTCGCATTCTTAGCCTTTTAACACCCCTGCGTCTTTCTGCCAAAGCTGAACCGCCCTACCAAACGCTAAGCCCTAAACCCTAAACCCTAAACCCTAAACCCTAAACCCTAAACCCTGATTTTGAAGCGCCTGGTGGCAGCGTCCCCGGGCTGTGGCTCTGTGCCTGCCGCACTGTTGCTTCCCGCTGGCGGCAACCCCTCGGCGCAAGCCCGCAGCGCGGGGCGCCGCTAAACCCTAAACCCTGATTTAGGGTTTGCGCAGGTGATAGCGCGGACCGAGGAGGCGCTGGAAGACGCGCTGCAGCTGATGGAGCTGCAGCTGGCTTCGACGCGAAATGCCTTTTTAAAAAGTGAAATTGCGCTCGACATTTTGTCAGCTTTTTTCGGATTTGTTGCTGCTGCTGCTGGTCTCTTTGGAATGAACATAAAGAGCGGTTTGGAGAACGAGGAAAGGGTGTTTTGGGCTGCTGCTGCTGCTGCTGCTGCTGCTGCAGTGGCGCTGCTGCTGGCCGTGTACTGGTGGTTCCAGAGACAGAAGCTCTGAGGAGACACTAAAGGAGACACTAAAGGAGACACTAAAGGAGACAACGGGGGAATTGAAAAGAAATTAAAACGGAGACAAAAGGAGACACTAAAGGAGACACTTGGGGAGACAAAAGGGGAGATGAAGGGATTAAAAGGGAGACAAAGGAGAAAGTAAAAGGAGACAAAAAGAGACAAAAAATGTTACGAGAGTTAAGTGGAGTTAAGTCGATTTGAAGGGCAAAAAGGAGACAATAAAGAGACAAAAAGGAGGCAAAAGAAGGAGACAAAAAGGAGGCAAATGGGATGGAAGAAATTTGAAGGAGACAGAAGATTAAAGGAAACTACAGGGAACTGGAGGATCTAAAAGGAGACAAAAAGAAAACAAAAAGGAGACAAAGGAGGAGACACAAATGGAGACAAAAGAAACAAAGAAGGAGACACAAAAGAAACAGCAAAGGAGACAAAAAGAAGGACAGAAAAGGGGAAAAGGAAACAAAAAAGGAAAAAGAAAGAAACAAAAAGGGAGACAACAAAGGCACAAAAAAGAGACAAGGAGACAAAAGAGAGTCAAAAAAGAAACAAAAAAGAGACAAAAACGGAGGATAAAAAGGGACTGAAGAGACAGGAAGAAGTGAGGGAGACAGAGGCGAATTGGAAGAGACAACGGAGACACCAAGAGGGACAAAAGGAAGCAAAAAGGAGACAAAAGAGGAGACAAAGAAGGAGACAAAGACGGAGACAAAAAGAGGTAAACGGAGACAAAAAAGAGACAAAAAGAGACAAAAAAGAAAACAAACAGAGACAAAAAAAGATTAAAAGAGACAAACAAGTAAAAGAAATAAATTAAGAGACAAGGGGAAATAAAGAGACAAAAGAAGAGACTGAAGAGGACAAAATGACTTCAAAGGAGACACAAGGAGACACAAGGAGACAAAAATAAATAAGCAGAAATAAAAATAAATAGGGGGAAATAAAAGAAATAAACATGGATGATAGTGAATAAAAAGAAATAAAGACGAATAAAAAGAAGTAAAAAGAAATGAAAAAAGAAATAAAAGGAAATAAAAGGAGACAAGGAGGTGGTGTCTCCTCTCAGCAGCAAAAGTTGGATTTCTGCTGCTGCTGTGTTTCTCCTTTTTGCTGCTGCACTTTTCAGTTTGTCTCCTCTGTGTCTCTCCGTTTCTTTTACTTTTTTTAATTTCTTTTTATTTCTTTTTATATCTTTTTATTTCTTTTTTGTTCCTTTTTCATTTCTTTTTGTCTCCTCTTGTCTCCTTTGTTTCGTTTATCTCTCTTGTTTTATTTATCTTTTTAAAGCGTCTAGTGTCTCTTTTTATTTGCCCTTTGTTTGCTGTGTGCACTCTCTCTGTTAGGGTTTAGGGTTTAGGGTCTATGTTTGTTGTTATGAGGGCAGCAGCAGACCCTTTGCTGCTGCTGCTGCCACTGCAGATCATGCTGCTGCTGCATCGGCTGCTGCTGCTGCTCCCGGTTTGCTGCAGCTAGTGTAGCTGCAGCAGGAGGTCTAGTCCCGCTTCTGCTGCAGCGCCAGAAGCAGCAGCAGCAGCAGCAGCAGCGGCGGCGGCGCCGGCAGCAGCAGCAGCGGCAGCAGGAGCAGCAGCAGCAGGAGCAGCAGACGTTGCTGCGGCTTCTCGCAATCTTTTTAGGAGAACGCAGAGCAAATGCTAAGCTGTTCCGATTTAGAGTTAAGATCTTAGGGTTTAGGGTTTAGGGTTTAGGGTTTAGGGGGTTGCGCGCAGGCGAATATGCCAGGCTCAAGATTGGAGGCTGTATCACCACGCTAGGGTTTAGGGTTTAGGGTTTAGGGTTTGGGCCTAGAGCGTAGGGTTTGGGTTTAGTGTGTAGGGTTTCAGTTTAGTGTTTAGGGTTTACAGTTACAGAGTTTGGTGGGTGCAGTTTAGGGTTTACGGGTGAGGGTTCAGGGTTTAGGGTTTGCCACTGCTGCTGCTGCTGCTGCTGCTGCTGCCGCGTGTGTCTGCAGCAAAAGTGGGGCCCCTGTGTTGCTTTTTGTTGTTTAAATTTGTCTAATTAAATTAATTTATTTTTTTAAATTAAAAAAGAATTGAATTAAATAAACGAAAAGAAGAAGAAGGCAGCAGCAGCAATCGACGGCAGCGGCTGGCGAGCGCTCAGCTCGGCCAAACCGTAAACCCTAAACCCTAAACCCTCAAATTTGGGGCTTTTTCTTTCGCCCTTCAGCGTTTCAAACCACATTTTAACATTTTGTCCATTTTAGGGTTTAGGGTTTAGGGTTTTGAAGCCACTGGAGGCCCATGATCGTCTGCAGTAACCCCAGAGTGACCATTGGCTCGCCTGCTGCTGCTGCTGCTGCTGCTGCTGCTGCTGCTGCTGGCCTCTCCAGAGTCCCTGCCTGGAGTTTGACTTTTTTCTGAAATATAACATCAGCCGCAGCCACACCTGCTGCTGCTTGAACAGCTGCAGCAGCTGCTGCTGCTGCTGCTGCTGCTGCTGCAGCTTTTGCTGCAGCCCGCTTCGGGTCTTTTCCTGGAAGCTGAAGGACGCTGCACCATGGGTGTATTGAGTTAAAACAGCAGCACCTCCAGCAGCAGCAGCAGCAGCAGCAGCAGCAGATATTCTTGCTGCTGTTTGGGAGCCTGGGCGTTCGAGGAGACACACCATGCGCGGTCTTCGGAGAGCAGCAGCAGCAGCAGCAGCAGCTGCTGCTGCAGCTGCTGCTGCTGCTGCCGGGGTCTTCCTTATAGTGAGTCAGGAAGCCCTAGCATCCCCAGCCTCAGCAGCAGCAGCACGAGCAGCAGCAAGTGCAGCAGCAAGTGCAGCAGCAGCAGCAGCAGCAGCAATATAATTGCAGTGACTGCGCCCATGTGCCTCAGACGGAGACTGTCTCCGGCTCCAATGTCTCCTTCGGCACCTCCCCTAGGACATCCCCAGGGGCCCCCTCTGGGGGCCCCTCTGGGGGCCCCCCGGGGGGCCCCCCGGGGGCCCCCCGGGCGTCTCTGAATTTTGAAAACCCCCATGACCCTCTTTACGGAGGGTCAAGGAGACTGGTGGGGGGCCCCCGTCGAAGTGTCTCCTTTGAAGAGCTGGCAGCAGCAGCAGAGAGCAGCAGCAGAACTTTTGTGTCTCCTGTTTATGAAGTTAAAGTGAAAAGCGAAGAGAGACAGTCTCTTATAGAAAAGCTGCAGAGGCAGGGGGCCCGGGGGGCCCCCCAAAAGGAGACACCAAAGGAGACACTGGGGGAGACAGGAGAGGAGACAGAAAACGAAAAAGAAAATAAAAACGAGAATAAAAATAAAAACCAAAAGGAGACAAAACGCAACTTCAAAAAGGGGACCAAATGGATTCCGCAGACTTTCCGGGAAGTGTCTCTCGCTGAACAAGGTGAGGAGACACAAAAGCCTTTTGTCTCTTTTTCTTTTTGTCTCCTTTTAATGTCCTTTTTGTTCCTTTTTGTCTCCTTTTTACTGTCTTCTTTTGTCTCTTTTTTTCCCCTTTTCATGTCTCTTTTTGTCTCCTTTTTCGTGCCTCTTTTTCTCCCTTTTTATTTCCTTTTCCATGCTTCTTTCTGTCTTTTTAATCTCCTTTTGAATATCTCTTTTTGTCTCCTTTACCTCCTTTTTCATGTCTCTTTTTGTCCTCGTTGTCCCTCTTTTTATGTCCTCTTTTGTCTCCTTTTTGTCTCCTGTTTGTCTCCTTTTTTGTCTCCTTTTTGTCTCCTTTTTGTCTCCTTTTTGTTTCCTTTTTGTTTCCTTTTCTTTCTCTTTTTGCTTCCCTTTTGCCTCCTTTTTGTCTCCTTTTTGTCTCCTTTTTGTCTCCTTTTTGTCTCTTTTTCGTCTTCTGCCGGGGTTTAAAAGGGTTTAAAAGGGTTTAGAAGGGTTTAAAAGTGTTTGAGAGGTTTCGAAGGGGTTTAAAAGGGTTTTAGAATGCCCAAATGGTTTCAAACTGTTTTAAAGGGTTTTTAAGGGTTTAAGAAGGGTTTAAGTGGTTTTAAAAGTATTTAAAAGTGTTTAGAAGGGTTAAAGGGGTTTAAAAGGGTTTAAGGGGGTTTAGAAGGGTTTAGAAGGTTTTGAATGTGTTTAAAAGGGTTTAAAAGGGTTTAAAATGTTTTGAAAGGGTTTAAAAGGGTTTAAAACGTTTTAAAAGGGTTTGAATGATTGTAAAAGGGTTTGAAAGGGTTTAAACGGTTTTAAAAGGGGTTGGAAAGGGTTTAGAAGGGTTTAGAAGAGGGGCTGCGGGAGAGAAGTGTCTCCGCGCAGGTGTCTCCTTTTGGGGCATCGACTCGAACACGAGCAGCGGGGCGCAGGTGTACGTGGACCTGCAGTGTACGTACACCGGAGAGGCGGCAGGAGTCCCCTTCGTCGTGGGGCGCTTTCGAAAGGAGACACTTCAGTTTTACTGTTTTTTGGAAAGTGAAATAGACCTTTTGACGCGGAGTCCCGAGTGCATCGACGGCTGCATGCAGCCGCTGCCCTGCCAGGGGGCCCTCAGTCCCCAAACTGTCTCCAAATTAAAAGGAGACACTTTTCGAAAAGAGAGACACCTCGCCCTCGACCCCGACCTCATCCTCTCCGAGTTTTGCCGTCGGTCTCCTCAGGCTTTTGCTGTCTCCTCCAGTGTCTCCGTTGTTTTTATTTGTTTATTTGTTTGTTTATTTGTTTATTTCTTTGTTTGTCTCCGCTGTCTCCTTTGATTCTCTCTATTTATTTGTTTATTTATTTGTTTGTTTGCTTCTGCTGTCTCCTTTTATTGTCTCTATTTATTTGTTTATTTATTTGTTCGTTTGTTTGTTTCTGCTGTCTCCTTTTACTTGTCTCTATTTGTTTTTGTTTTTTGTTTGTTTGTTTGCTTCTGCTGTCTCCTTTTTAATGTCTCTTTATTTATTTGTTTCTGCTGTCTCCTTTTATTGTCTCTATTTATTTGTTTATTTATTTGTTTGTTTGTTCCTGCTCTCTCCTTTTAATTGTCTCTATTTATTTTTGTTTTTTATTTGTTTGTTTCTGCTGTCTCCTTTTACGTGTCTCTTTATTTATTTGTTTCTGTTGCCTCCCTTTTAATTGTCCCTTTATTTACTATTTATTTGTTTGTTCCTACTGTCTCCTTTTTAATTTTCTCTATGCATTTATTCTTTATTTATTTATTTGTTTCTGCTGTCTCCCCTTTAATTGTCCCTCTATTCATTTATTTTTCTAATTTATTCCCAGTACCTTCTTTTGAATTGTTTCTCTATTTATTTATTTATTTCTGCTGTCTCCCTTTTAATTGTCTCTTTATTTGTTTCATCTATCTCTACTATCTCCTTTTTAGTTGTCTCTTTATTTAGTAATTTCTGCTGTCTCCTTTTTAATTGTCTCTGTATTTATTTTTTAATATATTTGTGCTGTCTCCTTTTTAAGTGTCTTTTTTTCTGTTTCTGCTGTCTCCTTTTTAATTGTCTTTATCTTTTTTATTTCTGTTGTCTCCTTTGTATTGTTTCCTTTTTTAATTGTCCCTTTTATTTATTTGTTTGTTTGTATTGCCTCCTTTCTTTATTGTCCCCTTCATTGATTTATTTATTTATTTATTTGTATTGTTTCCTTTTTTAATTGTCTCTTTTATTTACTTATTTCAAGTGTCTCCTTTTCTTAACTGCCTCTCTTATTTATTTCAACTGTCTCCTTTCTTAATTGTCTCTTTATTTATTTCTGTTGTCTCCTTTTTATATCGTCTCCTTGATTTTTTAAATTCATTTCTACCGTTTCCTTTTCTTCAAGTGTCTCCTTGCGTGATTGTCTCTTTATTTTTTCGATTTATTTCTACTGTCTCCTTTTCTTAATTGTCTCTTTTATTTTTATTGTCGCCTTTACTTCGAGTGTCTCTTTTGTTTCAAAGTCCTTTGTGTTTTAACTGTCTCCTTTTCTCCTGATTGTCTATTGTCTCTTCAGCTGTCTCCTTTTTATTCTTTATTTTCTTTTCAATTTAATTTAATTTGATTTAATTTCTTCTAATGTCTTTTTCCTTTAGATAATAAAAGGAGACACTTTAACTCGGAAGGAGACACTTCTAAAAAGGAGACACTTAGAGCAGCGCAGCAGCCACTGCCCCTCCAATTAAATCTCTCTTTCCTCCGTGTCTGCTGCTGCTCCCTTCCCGCTCCCTTGCTGCTGCTGCTGCTCCCTTGCTGCTGCTGTTGCTGCTGCTGCTGCTGCTGCTGCTGCTGCTGCAGACACGTCTCGAGTGCAGAAGACGCTGGACGCTTTGTGCGGGCCCTCTGCGGTGGCGCGGAGGGACTCTTCGGACTTGTGGCGATGTGTGTCTCCTGTCTCCTTTTCGGAGACACTTTTGTCCCCCGAAGAGGGTACTTCGGGGTCTTCCGAGGGGCCCCCGGAGGGGGCCCCCGCCGCCTCGGGGGGCCCCCAAAAGGAGACACTTGCCGCCGCCGAGGGGGCCCAAAAGGAGACACCTGTCTCCTTCAGTTGGCTGCTGCAGGACAAGACCTGCGTCGACGACTGTGGGGCCCCTGTCTCCTGCTACGGACAGCCCACGACGCCGGGGGGGACTATTCTTGCGGAAGGAGACAACGTCGTCACTCAGCTTTCCAAACAGTTCTGCCGTCAGTCCCCTGCTGCTGCTGCTGCTGCTGCTGCTGCTG